TTTGGGAAAGGAGCTGCTGGGACCACAACTGCACACATGTGTGGGTATACATTCAGCAAAGAAAAAAAAAATTGAAAATACACTTTATTTGCAATTAGTAAAATGTGGCACGCTCAACAAACAGAAGGGAAGCAATGAAATGGAAGTGGAAATATGAGAAACAAAAATTCTACAAATGTACTGACCACAAAGAGTCACCCATAACGACACAAAGAAATAAGCTGGAAATAAAGTTATCATTTCACCCTGGACCTACTTATTTTAGAAATTCTACACTCATGTTTTATTTTGTACTGGAACATTCACATCTTAACATCATAAGCTGCTTCAAAAATACATTAATCTCAGGTTTGGGATACTTTCACATTTTGCTGCAGATTAAAGAGGAAAGACTACTGAGATTAAACCCTCAGAGTTCTGAATCAGAAAACAAAACAAAACACAGCAACACCCCTTCAGATACCCCTTGTCACTTGAGGAACATCCACAATCTTTCTGCCAAACAACTACAAATTGGTCTTATATTTAATACTACTTTGTGAAATAATGGAAAATCAAGAGACGTTTCTCTCTTCCAGATTTGTAAACATGTTATTATAGAATTGAGCTGTGCATATATTTAAAGGTCACTTCAAGATGAGGCAGGACCCACTCATTGAGTTTGTTACAGTGAATGAATTATCACAAAAGCACGAGGTACTGGCTTCTGGCCAAGACACCTTTCTTATTTTAAATAACCATCAACCTTTTCAGATCACCGAGTCAAGTTACACAAAAGCTGTACATTAAAAACGTTGATTATAATATTACTTTCATTGTGAAAAACAATCACAATGTTGTTGAACTGGTCTAAGAGATCCCTTATGGAAAACTGCATGGAACCTTTGATCATTAATATGCACTGTCACTCTGCAATGGGTTAACCCATTTAATCCAAATCTACAATCCCAAGTGGCCAAGGGCATTTCCAAAACAAACTTGAGCACATGCTTACAGTATGGAAATCAATTTCCTTTCTTCAGGAATCTCTTATTCTCCTCCTTCTTTGGACTGACACCCAAAAAAAGCCAAGATTGCATCTGCAGCTCTGAATGTTCCTATTATTAGTGAAACTGCTTGGAAAATCCAGTTGTAGTATGATTTAATCATGGGATACGACACACTACACGTGTAAAGGAAACAGACTGTGTGCTTCATTTAGAGATTCTAGAAGGCTTCAGCTGATGGTTTTAACTTACAGGTATTACTGAATATACAGACCACATAAAATGTGGGAATCTCTGAATTTTGAGTTAATCATAATAAATTTAAAATGAATATTCATGAAACGAGAAAGAGATGATTTTCGTTTTCAAAAAGTAACGTAGATCACACTATTCTGTCATCTACCACTTGATCCAGAAATCATTTAACATGACAATTTAATACAAAACCTAATAAAATGGTTGTGCATCTTTTATAAGCAATTGACTGCCCAGCAAAACAGTTTTACTGCAGTCACAAGGAGATGCTTAAATTACAAGAATGAGCACAAAAATCCATGACATCTTTCAGCATCTCCCAGTGCGCACATGTTTAAGTAAGAGGGAAAATCCCATGCTGCAGCATTGCTCTTTTTAAGAGATTCATTTCTTACAGGGTACTACCATCTCTGAAATGCACAGTCCAAATTAACTAAAAATTATTTGAAGTTGGTTACAGATGGTAATAATTGATCAGCACCAAATAAGTCTCCTTTATTTAAGAAGCCAGATTAAAAAGCATCGGCCAGCTGTAATGCTTTACTGGGACAAAGTTCCCTGTTCCTCATTAGCTATCTAGACACTGTAATCTACAATATGTTGCTGCAAATCTGCAAGTGGAGCAAGGGCTGTTCTCATGCTAATAAAAGACACAAGCTTCCAGCCTTCGTTATCATGGCAGTTGCTGCTTCCCACAGTCTCCCACAGATATGCACAGAATCTGGGTGCACTTCCTCGCAGGTATAGTTGGGGGTTCAATCTCATGTGTGCATGCTCTCAGAGAAGATTCACTCTGTCTTTTTTTGTGCAGCATCAGACTCTAAATACTGTGCAGTGTGTTGCCCTCTGTGTCTAAGTGACACAAATTCTCAGCCATTATGCCCCTATGGGCAAGAACACCATCTTCCTCCTGCACAAGCCTCAGTGAAAGGCTCTAATTGTGCCCAGCAGCTTGAGACCCAGAAAGCAGCAACCACTCCCCAGCTTAATTTGAGGCCTCTTAATGTACATGAAGATAAACTCGCTGGTCTGTCAGACTCTCAAAAAAGATTTTTTATATTTTATATCAGCCAATCCAGGGGGTCTAGAGGATCTATAGTAAAGGTCTCAACTGTCAAAAGAATCACACCGGGATGTGATATGTGTCTACTGTACTTGCAGGCAAAAGTTTAACCTCTTTCATGCAACCAAAGGGAATAAAACATGAGAAGTTCCAGCATCTTCAAGGAAATGAATTAAAAAAAAAAAAAGGATGCTGGGCACCTTTTACCTCCAAATACTAAAGCTTTTTTCCTCCAGTAAGTGCTAATAAAGGATACACCCACACTGCAAAACAGCAGATGTCTGATACAAGAAGAGGAGATATTTCCCTGTATTTGTAACTCATTGTTTTAATCAATTGGTTTTGGATTCCTGCATTAAAAAAAAAAAACAACACAAAACACAGCCTTAACTGGATGACAATACTGCTGCTTACAACAAGCAAAATCAGCACTAACAATCACTATTTTTGCCATTTTAATTTCAATGTCAAAAACATTCATTGTTAATATTAATATGTTTAATATTTTAAATTGCAATGAGATGCCTTTGCATAAATACAAAACTTTTTTTTTTTTTTTTTTTTAAAGACAGCAACCTCACTTAACTTTCTGAAAATGCCTACAACTACTGAAGCCCTTAAGAGCTGGAAAGACACTGATGCTGACAAACAGCTGAAAATCTCAACAGAATAGAACAGAATAATGTTATTCTATATCAAACAATGCTCCAATGGCACTTGGATTTATGAGACATCTGAAACAATAAATTAGTTAGTTTTGTATGGCCTTTCCAGTACAAAATGATCAGGATTTTTCAGTCTTATTTCCTATAGCTGCTGAATAGACAGAACAAACAAAACTAAAAACTCAAAAGGCAGCTATTCTTGGAAGGCCAGTGGATGCCTAAATCTAGTTAAAGCCATCACCTTACCTCTGGGGAGTATTTAAAGAAGTCTTGACAGTCTTGTTTACTTTGTCTAATGCAAAAGAAATTTAACTATGTGAAATGGAAGGCAACTTTATTTAAATAAATAAAACCTGTAATTTGCGGAACTGTTTGAGCTCAGGACTATGCTGATTTTCAAAACAAAGGATGTTTTCAAGAATTAAACCGCTGTTTGTTGTCAATTACAACTGTAAAGAGTACTAGATCCTATCAAGTTAGGCTTGAAGTCACCAACACTTTACTTAATGAAAATGAAGGAGCTTCCACTGTGGGGAAAGACAGCTTTCTTCAAAAATTCTGGTAACAATCACTGCTGGAAACTTAATACTAACCATGTAGACTAGTGTTCTGCTTAATGGATCATAAACAGGTTTATTTCCCCTAAATTTGACAAGATGACTTCTTTGTTGCTGCTTTACCAGTCCTCCTTTCATGTACTTTGGTGCCACCATGAGGTGTGCAGCCAATTATCATTTTAAACAGACCTATTCAAAAAACCTCCAAAACAAAACAAAATGAAAATATACTTCTAGGCTATCAAGAAAGGCAGGTTATGTTTGGTAGGCAGAAATTTAGGAGCACTGCACCACAACTGAAATCACATTTAATAGGTCAACACAGATACTATACTTCTGTAACACATAAATACAGAAGCACTACAAACCACAACAATTCATACAAATTAGCTGAAAATCACTGATAGCCTGCCAAAGACATTTCACAACTGAGACAAAAAGAAAACCTCCCATGATGAATTATTCTCAAATGATCCTAGCATTTTTAAGCTGTCATGTAAGTTTTTTTCCAAGAGGTTGCAAAGCATTGGGAAAAAAAACCCACAAAAAACAGCTTTTCTCAAGACATAAAAAGGAAAAACACTGAAATTGAAAATAACACCAAATTACACTCACTTATTTTAGAAGTTCTGATACAGTAAGTTTAAGATTTTTTAGAATAGCATTTTCCTCAATCAGGTTCAATGCTTATTATATTATTTTTCACATTTGCATTCTTTAATTTCTTGCTTACTGATGCTCAAGATAAAATTGTAACTCACACCAATTAGATGCTAGATAAGAAATAGTCTTGTGAGATCTGCTAAGGACAACTTTAGGTATCTGTCTTGGTTTAGTTGTTTTAATATTTTATTTCCTTTTGAATGACTTATATAACCACCTAAGTCTCAGCCAATTCCAAAATCTCATTACACGACAGCACAATTAGTTTGCCTTCCACAGTTCTTGGAAGCAGTACAGACTCAATTTATCGTTAAAGGGTTTGAAAACACATCTACTTTTGCTCAACACCATAAAAGTAATATTGTTTGCAAGTGGAAAAACTGCTGCTCTGCTTGTGAAACAGACATGCACCTGTTTCACAAAGTTTGCTGAAAGTAATACATCACAGATGGCTTTTGATTTAAGAACATATACAAAATCTGGGTTTGCTTACAGGTCTCTGATGCTTGCATGGAAATGTTTCAGAATCATCACATTTACTTCTCTATACTGGCATGCCCTAATTCTTGCTCTTTTGTTGATGCCTGTACTCTTAAAAAATCTGCAAGTTCAAAGCCATACCATTTAAAAAAAGGAAAAACCATAAAACATCCTCAAAAGGTCTTCTGAACATCATTTGACCCATCAGTCTCTGACATTTAATCTCTCTCAAAATATAAACGAACACAGGAGATGCTGATTTGCATTAAAACCAGTTGCAATTTACAATCTATTTCTTTCTTCACTAAATCTCCTTACCTTTTCATGCCCTCGTTTAGGAACATGCCAAAACCAACATCTTGACCTTTCACAGCCACGCAAAGTCACAAAATAAAATCTGCAATATCTACGGGGCAGGTTAATCATCTCCAGGATTTGCTGGACTGAATGGGAAGCCTAAAAATAAAACAAAATTAAAACAAGCAGAAAAAAAGCAGCTTTTTTTTTGAAAGCATGCATATCCATTTTTTGGAGATTTTCAGAATATCTAGGTACAAGAAGAATAAAAACAACAAAATACTGCATGGCTCTGGATAACTGTCTAAGAATTTTAGGTAGGTAAAATTCCTTTATCCTTTCCAGCACCCAGCAAAATGGATGATGCAGTCTCTCCTAAAAAAACGAAACTTTCTCAGCTTTTCAGTTCTAAAAAAACAATAAAACAAAGAGCATTATTCATGTTTTGTTTAAGCTGGAAACAGAATTCAACAAAGGTTCACTGTGAACATGTCTCATCGTCACTGACTTCATTTATAACATTTTAGAGGACTAGAAACATAAATATACATAGGTTAATAATTTCTTACTATATAGAGAGCAGTCTCAATATTCACAACAAATTTACTGCCAAAGTATCAAAATTCATTAAGGATTCAGCAACTCACTTTTATATTTTTGTCTGTCTTCCCTGTCTCAGAATCTCCGTAAGTTTGCAGAGGCAGTGAATGACTTTTTCCTGAGAATCTATCATCTAAAAATTAGGATAAGGACAATAAATGGATCATGTAATAAAATGAGTCATCGTGAAACCACTCTCATATATCTTATTTTCCTCTGTATTTAGAAATGCTTCGAGTCACAGGCATGATTAATGAAAATTTGATTAATATAGTCTAAAAACCAGTAATCTAACTTAAGAGATTTCTTAATTATCCTGATAGGAAGTAAAAAAACTTCGAGACAGGACCTGAGGTTAAACTTTTAAATTAAAAACTTCACTACTTGTGCGAGGTTTCTTATCTTACTTAAGAGAGATGAGAAAAGAAATTGAACCAAAATATCCAGAAGTTCCAATCCCAAAAGGAAAACAAACAAACAAACCTTTAGCAGTAATCCCTGCACTGCTATATCACTAACAAGATTTTTTTTCCAGAACTGAAATAAAATCTTTAATAACCTACATGTTCTAAGTGCTACAATGTGAAGCTCAAGTCCAGTGGAAGTTACTGGTTTCTTAACCATGAAACTTGGCTTTAGATCTTTAATTATTGCTGATGTTGGAGCTTTCTTCTTCTGAAGAATGAGTAATCTTGCAATATTAATGGAAGACACGAGTTCAAATTCTTCAATTTCATATTTAAATAGAAGGATGAGCTTTTGAATGCCTTCCTTCTTAGGGTGCTTATTTGGCCTCTTTAAAGAACTGCGTATACAGAAGGCAGGATGCTCAGTGCTTTCCAAAAAACTACAGCTTAAATAAAGAACATCCAATAAAGAGCCATGTTCCAGTGGAGATTTGCACTCTCGATCTGTCCATCATTCTAGACAGACAGGATGACTACAGGATGGGAAGCACATATATAATAGAACAATTAATTACCAAAATGTTAAGTACTGTCATAGCAGCTTGATTCTGTGCAACAATGATAGGGAATTTAGGAAAGGAAAGATTTAGCCACAGAAAGAAGATCGACAAAACAGCTACCAGCTGAGAACTTTTAACTCAGAAGTTTCCTCCCTCAGTTCTAGCTGTCACACAATCATGGAATCATTAAGGTTGGAAAAAATGACCTCTGAGATCATCTAGTCCAATCATCAGTTCATCCCCATTATGCCTACTAAACCATGTCCCTTACTGCCACATCTACATACTTCTTGAAAACCGCCAGTGATGGTGAGTCCTCTGCTTCCCCAGGCAGGTTGTTCCAATGCAATACCACTCTTTCCAAGAAGAAATTTTTCCTAATGATCAGACTAACAAGCCTGTCCCCACTGCCTGGAGTTTCTGGCCAGGTTCTTGGAACAGTCTACACTCTCTCTTCCCACCACATCAAACTAACAGGGAGCAGACCTTTAAGTGAAAGAGTTGATCCTGCCTTCATTGTTCTGGGGAAATAAACAAACAAGAAAAACCCACAAAAAACCTTTTTTATTCTTTCCTGGCACAGATGCTCTTGGTTTGGCAGCTTTTTTGACCAATGCTAAGGAAGCTTTAGAAGAACTCTTCAAAGATTTATACACTTTTAAAGCCAAAGCCACAAGCAACTTTAAACCACTGTAGTCTACAGACATATGTCACAGTTGCTTTTTAGAGTATTTATGTTTCTTGCACTTCCTAAAAATATTGGTAAATCACACAACAATAAAATTGCTCTAAAAGCTCAGGCTGGCAGTATAATCTGAAATTAAACAAGAATGTCTAACACCAATCTCAATTCTAAAAATCCACATTTACAAATATCCATATTAACCATTAATTCTGAAAATGTAATATCCCAAAACAGGTGCTGCAAAGGAACAAAATGCATATCTGTCCATAAATAAAGTCCTGTTTTCCTCCATCCTGTGTGCCAAATAAAACTACACTTTTATGTAAGGGTAAACATCACAGTTCTTATGTGCAGAGAAAAAGAGAAGGAAACCATGACTACAGCTGCACTGAATTATGACTTCTCTATTAGCAGAAACACTTCAGTGGTAGACTGCCCCAGTCATGAAATATACTAGGTCAAAATTAAATGCTGCTTATTAATTCTAGATCATTTCCTTGATCCAATTTAGTAAATGCTTCACAAACATTTAAGTTGACAAAAACAAGAAAATCTTGATCGTTGGCAAGGTGGGCAAACTCCTTTGCCAAGAAGTGCTGACAGATAATAATCAATCAAGAAAACCTGTTGTCACATTCTCTGACCATAAATAAAGAAAAATAAGTTACTTACTAATAATGTCGTTTATACACAACCTGTCAAAATCCTCAGAATGCAGACACTGTTGTACAATTAATGTATTTGAAGACTATAAATAACAAGATAAAATGACTGATATCTGACCCTACCAAATAAGAAAATGGTTAAAAAATCCTGAACAAGAAACAAGTCAACAACTCAATAAACAAAAAATCAGTCTATCATGAGAGCTTACATTTATGCTTCCAGATGCACAATTAATAAAAAATGACTTTGGGAACTGAAAAAAAAAATCCTTACAATTTTGTAGGTAAGTAACACATTAAAATAAATTTTGGAGGTTTTATCAATAGAGCATACGGTACCATTCTTCCAGGGTTTCTGCACCATACTTTCACCAAAGTCGTTCACATTCGGGGCATGCAATGGCAATTCTGAGAGCAGTTCACAGCTCACAAGATCTCTGTACTTACAGTCGCTGTTGAGCATTAAAAAACAAATATAGCCAAATTAAAAAAGGTGCTTCTTCCATATAATAAACAAATATAAGGAGGTATTAAGTGCATAAAAAATGACAATTTCTTCAAGAATTAAAGTGACACTAAAAAAATCACAGTAAAGTTGAATGGCTGGCAGTCCCAACAACTTTACTTTCATTACTCTCACAGCTCAGTCCAATCTCATTATGGTATCAGCTGAGATTATTCTGTTCTGGAGTGTAATTACATAAAATTCTGTGAGTAGGAAGGGCATACATGAATCACTTTTTTTTTTTTTTCTCACTTAGCTGACAGGAAGTTTGAGATGATTTCTGCCACCTTTGAAGCAGCTCCTACTTTTCAGTAGTCTGTTACATATAATATCTGACAAAGACATAATCCACAGAGCATTTGAACAGCCAACCATTTTCTTTCCTAATAACCGACTGTACTCAAGAGAACTCAAAATCTATTCTGCCTTTATTCCCAAATATATATATCCTAGATAATTAGATTTTGAAAACGTCTTGTTTTCCAAAATAAGGTACAAATATTTCTAGCAAAACGCTTAGTGATCTCTTTCTTATCTGTAAATAAAACCACAGGAAAAAAAAGCTTTTTAATCAGATTTCCCCCCCCTTCTATTAATAATCTAGGATAAGTACAAATGACATCGCATCACACTTGCTGTTTGGAGAAAGAAACAGACTTGCTATTTTCTGTGAGGGTCACATTCCATTTATTTAGTAGCTCTTAGCCAGTTCCTGAACTGCAGTTTTTAATACAATTTGAAGGAAAAATGCTAATGCAGATGACAATAAACTGCATCCACTAAACCCAAATTCCTCAACAGCAATCTGTATTTCAGTCAATACAGACTATTATTCCCCACCAGAGGGAAAATAAGATGCATGCACCTAGCAGCCCAGAATTTTGAATCACCACGTAAAATGTTTTTTAACATAACCCTGTCATGCCAGCCTCAGAGCTGATAAAACGGGATTTTAACAGCAGCCCACCTTCAGGATAACAGTCTCAGCTCTTTTTAATCTTGACATCAAACTACACATAATTTTGCCAAGAACTCTAAACTATATAGCTATACAATCTGTTTGCTTATTGAATTGAAGTCACCATTAGAAGCAGAGTTTGTTAACGAGGAATAACTGTGTTTTCTTCTAGATGAAATTTTGCAATGGTAATGTTTTTGAGTAAAAATAGAGAAAACAGTTTTACTCCAAATAAAGGATTAAACGTTCCTTCTCTAAGTACAGTGTTGCATTTCAACTATGACAGCATATCTTAGTTCTAATGCTCTGTTAAGGAAAGAAATGAATTACTGTGGTATCCCTTGCACAATCCAGCATAACCTACTTTTTCTGTAGCATAAAGAGCCATATATGCTTTAAAGGAAATCTAAAACATTTAAACAGAAGGAGGAGCTTGGAGCTTCTAGCTGATTAATGAATAGATGCAGCATTTTCCATTTAATGCACACTGTGACAGACTTTAGTCACAGAAACATGAGTGGTGCTGGAAAAAGGCAATAGTCTATGCTAAAGTTCTTTGACTACTTGTGAAAATTACTCTGAAACGTCTATGACTCAATTTCTCTTTTGATTACCGGCATATTCCATAATTTAAGTATAACTTTGATATTTTTTACAAAGTAATCTTCTGCTTCATTTTTTTCTGCTGACACTGAATGGAAGTTGCAACTGAAGGATTCTGAATTGTACATATGCAAGTCATACATACAATAAATAGTGTAAGCACCACTTGAAGCTGACATAAGAGTTGAGCACATGCTTAACACCACATGCCATATTTTTAAGTGTCTTTTTCATTCAGGTATTTGTCAGCCTGAATTTGAATGATATCTTTAAATCCTCTCATGAATTCTGTAGAGTTCAAAGAGATATAAAAATGAAAATGTTATTTTTATTTAATTCTAGCAAGTACTATTGTGGCTGAAAATATATCCATCTCATATTACACTCATAGAGAGATGCCAGAACAAGTGAGACTCTGGCATTACCACACAGAAATGATATTATTTCATTTTTATTTTCTTATATAACATTAAACATTAATTAAAATGTTGATGGTGCACTGGTAAAAATATCATATTCCATTTGTAGAGTGACTAGGGAACATCATGTTACCTTGAGGACACAGTATATGTACCTTTTTTCAGCTTCGTTTTTTTCTCTTGGTTCCACAGCAGCCACACCATCTGCAAAACTGAACTGTAAAGATATTTAAAATAAACCTTTTTGGTTTGAGTTTGGTTAACTCTGAGGTTTGGAAAATACCTACAACTAATCTCACAGCACTAAAAAACAAACATATTGGGATCCTCACTTTATAAAGCCACAACACTATGAAGTAGCCCATCTTCAGAGTGGCCTGGCAGAACTGCAAAAAGTACAACTTAATCAATAACCTGTACCATTTGACAGCCCTTTATATCCTTTCTAAGAGTAGGGAAGAAAAGAGTGCTGTTCACTTTGTGAACCAGACTTTATGAGTGCCAACTCCATTTAATGAAGGAAACATTTATATTCCTCTTTTAAATATCGATTTTACCAGGGAAATCAATTCTTTATTGTTCGATTACCTCACTTGTGCACTTACCAATCTTCAGCCATCTGTACTTTGCAGTTTAACTTACCCAGTTAAGACCATTATCCACTCCAGAAGTAGTGGAAAATGACAGACACTATCAGCACCTGTGTCTGAGCGGCAGCGAAATGCAAATTTTAATCCATTATCAAATAAGTAAATACCATAAAACTTCAGCAACTCTTAAAAAATCCTAGGCAGCTTATCTAGAAGAAGGAGGTGATAGAAGGTAGAAAGGTCAAATAACGTCACTGAGCATGAAAATTGCTTAACGCTCCCGCAGATTGCCAGGAAATCAGTATGTTAATGTCATGGAAGGTTTGCCCAAGTAATCAACCACAGAACACTTCTGAGATGCAGGATGGCTGCGTAGCTCCCCAGCTTTCAAACACCACCCCGTTCTTCCAAGACTATGTGGTGAGAAATATTTGACACCAGCTTTTACTAGGTATGTCACTTACGCACAGAAGTGTCTGTGTGTCCATTGGAACAGTCCCTTCCAAACAGAATTACTGTAAAAACTGAGATGACAACATGTTGTTTCATATCAAATTTGATGACAGGTTATTAATGGCAGGTTAAGAAAATTAAGTTCCATCAAGCAAAAATTTAAATGTCAATAGCACACAGTAATTGTAACACTCTGAAAATAATATTCTTTTCATTACAGGAATCTAAAAGTGTTGATGAAACAGTATCCCAAATACACGGATTTCTTAAACTATTTCTTAAACTGTTCAGTGACAAAGCATAATTTCTCAGTACCTTTTCATCTAATTCAAAACTCTTTAGAAGTTCATCCAGTTCTGTTAGTTGTCCGTCTTCAAAAGAGTCCTCAGTAAAACTTCGCATAGGGCTGTTTCCACTGGAGGAATTGTGGGTTTTAATATCTGAAGCTGAGAATGCACAAACACATCTTTTGTTTCCCATACTATAAGCTAGCAGAACTTTTATCTCCTACATATTCTAAAAAGTTAATACTAAGGACATTTAAGAATCTGTAGGACATTGTAAATGCAAAATTTGTATGTAAAATTATTCCACTTACAGCATGAGCCCTGTCAAATAAATATTAAACTGAATCTGCAATTAAAATTCCAACCGGGCTGTATGTTCTACAGTAGTACCCGCAGAACAGTACAACGGGTTTATTTATATCACATTTAATTCAGTATTTTAAAAATAAACTCAGTTAAGATTTATTGTTAGAGAACAGCCCAAGATATATATAGTAATTTGCTAAGCAAATGATGACTTAAGTCTTTACTGGAGAAAGGGATAAGTTAATTGTAATGACACGACGCAACTCGGCAGTAAATAGAGGCAGCTATGAAAAACTCAAAATTCCTGTAAGGAGTATTCAATGCCAGGAAATGTCAGAACCTTCTGTAAGCGCTGCAGGAAATGAAAGGAACAACTGACTACAGTTTTCTGAAGCAGCTCTTTATGCACAATAAAAGAGCTTTTCATTAGAAAGAAATTCTCTATTTCATTGGATCGCTGTCATCAGTCTGTATCATCATCGATACACATCAGCAAGAAGACAATGTACATAACATTTCTACTTGAAAGACAAAGATGACTGACGTCATCCAGACTGTTCAATCCTAACTGCAGTATTTGTTGCCATTCTTACACTGTGAAACCACTCAGAGAACCAGCCATGTCATCCCTGTGTAACACAATGCACCAATGAAGTAAAATGTATTTCCAAATGAACACGTAAGTTGCTAGTGATAACCACTATCAGTCATCTTTTTTTGTTCTGCACAGGTAATTTGTCTTTTTAGAAGTCATAAATCAAGCATAGATTGATGTGAATGAGGTTACTTAAGTGTGTGATGAAATGCTACATTAATCAGACCTGGGAAGAAGGAGCTGCTTAAACCTTTTTTTTTGTTTTCAGCACAAGAAGACTCAAAATTTTTTGGCCTCTAATTTTATTTGAATATGATGTAAAACAACAATCAGTTTAAACAAACACAGAAGTTACTGAATAGCACAGGACTTGCTTCCAGGTTTGGTTTCAATCACCTCAGTTCTGCAGATGCTACAATATGTACCCTACTTACAAGGTAAGAGGTCTTTACCTGTAGACCTGCTCCCTACTTCTCTTGGTGTCTGAGGTCTTGGTGTATTAGCTCTTAAACCCTCATTACCTTTCATTTTTGCCTTCTAATCACTAAGATGTTAAACCTTTTCTCCTCTCATTATTCCCAAGGGGAAATTCACTCCTTTTTCTTCCAGGATACTACTTCTGCCCAAACCCTTACTCCTTCAACATGAACTTAACACAGTAATATGAAAACACTCAGTATATCCTACTACTGTCTAATCAACTAACAGAAACTCTTGGTTAAAGAGCAAGGGATGTCAAAAGGGTACAATCAACACACAGGAATCACAGAAAAAGATGTTAGATGTTCTTGTAGGAGATTTGTATCATTTCAAAAGACCTGCATTTCATATAATTGGGAAATCAGTGTTACAATAAAAGACATTCTCATTTTATATGGAAAATATAAATTCTAGGTTTTCCCCCTGAATATCTTTGTGGTTACTTTCTTCTTGATTACATGTTCAAAAACTTCTAAAAACGCTTACCTTTTAGCATCAAATCCCATGAATTTTCAGCATCATACAACTTTCCAGATTCTTGTATATTAACATCTCTGTTTTGAACAAAAGGTGTACTTAACATTCTCATCTTGCAAAACAGAATTAATCTAACTAGTTACATACAATTAAAGTTCTCAGTAATGCTTTTAGCTATGAACAGATCCTTACTTACAACACACCACCTTCATTAGAGTGTTCTTAAATCTCTTTTGGCTGTTTTATGTTTATTCCCATAAATGTACATGTAAATATGGTAAGAAAAGCTAAGGCATTTCCAAATCCAAATTTTCTACTAAAATCTCATCACCTCCTTTCACCTTTGCTTAAACTATTGAAAAAGGGAATCTTTTCTATACAGTACATTATTGAAAGAGCATACTAACAAACCAATTCATGAGTCTGAAATAAAGAAATGTGATTTGTAGTAATTTTACATTCAAGATATTTTGCATAACAATGAATCCTAAAGACAGCAAGAAAAACTTCTGTTTGCAGAGGGATACTTAGCTCACTTATTTTAAAGAATAGTTGGAAAAAAGAATGGCAATTTGCAAGAACCTAGTGAAAACAACAGTTCCCCAGTATGTGCAACTTTGAACTATGCAACACTGAGGTACAAATATCTACATAGGTCTACAAAAATTATTAAGAAGCAGATTTTAATTATGCCACAGCAAGTCTGCAGAAATAGGAGGGATTCTTCTCAGAATCAGGTTCTCAGGTTCTCTGTAAACTTATTTCCTCTCTCTCCCATGCATTTATAGGAAATGCAGAGGTTGAGTGATTTTGCCTATATCAACTATTCTTCTTTCAAATTGCAGTGCAGATAGTTTCAGAAAGCTATCGTCATCACAAACTTTTTTTTTTTTTTTTTTAATGGAAAATACATAACAGAGTCAGGAGACTGAAATCTTCATGGTCAGAAGCTGTTTCCAAATCTTTACCAGATTTTGCTATGTGGAACATTTACAGGAGCCACATTTAAGTTCTTGTCAAGAAGGTGCCTCCATCACATATAGCATGCTGCATCTATCACAATCTAAGAGCAAATCTAAGAGCACTGACAGAACCTTAAGAAGTCAATGCATTTTAGAGTTCTGGAAATGAGGACAGACTGGATCATGTCAGAGTTTGAGTAGTGAATGCAGAATGATCTTGCATGCTGCTGCTGATTAAATTTAAACAGATCTCTCTTTACAGCACAAGCTGTGTTAACCAGTGTAGCTCAGTTTGCTACTCTGCATTTGAAAAAGGATTAAATTTTGTGAGTTTTACTTGAAAGGAGGAAAGTGAAAAGCAGAAGTGTCCTAAAAGCAAGAAAGGGTATTGATGCTCTGTCAGAGGTAGTCGCCTTGTGCACAACATAGATACTCATACTAACAAATTTGTTATGACACAGTCTAACTGCTTCTTAAGAAGTTGGATGCTCCTACTAAAGACAAACCATCTGAGTACTGCTCTTCACAGGTTTGCTTATGCAGAAGTATTTTTTATATTAGAAAAAGAAGCTTAATATTCTCATGTCTAAAAAACTGGTTGGCACACTGATGAAGATTCCCTTCCTCTCTCTTGTGAGCTTAGTGACAGGAAAAGGATAAGAAGTGCAAAGACACACAGAAAAAAACCCAAATTATTAGATGGTGCAACACTGGAAAAAGTTAAAGTATCGTTTAAAATAAAGATAACCTAAAGTTACCCAGAAAGCACAGAGAAAGAAAATAAAACACCCATCAATAAAAAACCCTAATTTTCAGATAAAATTCTTGTGCAGTTCCAACTGAAAGAATTTAATCTTAAAACTCCTTTATCAAAGAAAAGTATCAGAGCTTAGAGAGAAAACAAGACTACAGAGTTGATGAATTAATCACAGAATGCAATCATAGAATGGTTTGGGTTGGAAGGGACCTTTAAGACCACCTAGTTCCAACCCCCTGCTATAGGCAGGGACATCTCCCTCTAGGTTGCTCAAAGCCCATCCAGCCTGGCCTTGAATGCTTCCAGGGAGGGGGTATCCACAAGCTCTCTGTTCCAGTGTCTCACCACCCTCACAGTAAAGAATTTCTTCCTAACACCTAGTCTAAATCTGCCCTCTTCAGTTAAAAGCTATTTCCCCTTGTGCGGTTGCTATATACCCTTATAAAAAATCCCTCCCTAGCTTTCCTGTAGGTCCCTTCACATACTGGAAGGCCTACCACACAAAGCACTATGGCTTGATTTATAAAAGCTTGTTGCCCCACCTGACTTTTATTATCACTTCTAAATCCAGAAAAACACAAATGCCTACAAATGCATATTACACACTTGCTGAATAAAGATGCAGGATCTGAAATAACTATAACATGTTAGCCAAATTACAGATTTGAGAATTATTCATGTGTGGTTGTAGAAGAGAAGTGTCGATAGAGAAATTCAGAATGGAACACTACTGTGGAGACAGTCGCTTTCTCATACAGACTCAGTAAAAGAATATGCTACATCTAGAAAAAAAGACATAAATACTGTACGAATTTACATTCAAATCTACTCTCAAAGGGATACTGCTTAAGTCAGATACTCAAAAATAATTAGTTATTAAGACAATTATTCTTAATAATCAGCTTTGCTTGTATTTCATATTTCACTTCATCTATACCAATGCTTGAGGATTAGGTACTCCTTCCATTCAGAGTTTATCCTAGTTCTTTAAAACAAACAACAAACCAAAACAAAAACCAGAAAAATTTATTTGCACTCAGAGAACTACCATACCACAATCAAGCTCTGACACTTAGGAAGACCGACTACTACAACCAAAGTGTATCAATATGAGGTTAAAGTACTTAGCATTATTGTCATAAAGCAGAAAAATAAGCATACCTAAAATTACCGTTTACTGAATGACTGTTTTCTGAAGTAACAGCACACTCGGGATATTGCTTTTCCTCTTTAATGAGGATGCTAGAACAGCATGCCTTTGCAGGACAATTTTCACTGTCTGTGACTGTAAGGTCCTCTTCGCCACTGGTTCCAAAAAGATCAGGGTCATCCTGGATCACATCAATGACAAGAACATCTTTGTTGTAAGCTTCAAGAACATCTGGAAACTTTTCACTTTTGTGTTCTGGAAGATTGACTTTTGATTTGCTATCATCATGTATTTCTAATGCAACACGGTGGTCAACTGCATCCCCTGAATGATGGGAAACCTCTGATTTCCATACAAATTCAGTACCACAGAACTCAGATGAAGATGATTTTATCTGTCTCTCAGGAGGACATGGATATAAAAAGACAGGATCAGGGAGTGCGGACATCTCATCTGAAAGCTTTTCAGAGCCATCAACAGCTTTTTTCTTCATGGAAGCTGAAGATACAGCATCACTTACTACAGGAAGAAGCTGCTGCTTCACCTGCATCAAGGTAGTTTTCTCATCTCTTTTCTGACTTCCTGAAATACTAGTGCTATCAAGCTCTGGTGGGCTACAGGTTTTACTCTCAAATGAACTGACAGGTTCCAATGTCCCAGATTCAGGTTTGTTTCTGCGTAAAGGTATTTTGAAATTTGTCAGGTTTCTGGTGTTTAGTACTGTTGTTTGTTTTAAATCAGAAAGCATCTGGTTCACAACTGATGCCTTATGATCTAAGTTTACTCTGTTTCGTTTTCCTTTAAATGCACTATTCTGGCCTGCCACAGACGGATTTCTCTTTGATGCAGCTCCTTTATCTTTTGCACTTGTAAAATTGGAGGTTGCTTTATCTTCTTGCATATCATCAGGGTTAAAAGACACAGCACTTTTAACCATATTAACTGGTGATTCTGCATTTTCATTGCTCATTCTACAAGTCTCATAAATAACCACAGAAGATTCTGAGATTTCAACTGAAGTTAGACAGTCAGTGTTTAGATCCATTATGTTATGCGTAGGTTCTTTGTTAACTTCTGCCAATGACGTATGCAAAACCAACGGTCTGAAACTCCCTGTCACAGCACTGTTTCCTATAGTTTTGACACCGCTTTCATCAGAGGACTCTGCAAAGACTGGACTTAAAATTATTTTTCCTTCTGAGACAGACCCATGACTTTCAGGGACCCATCCAGAAGTCCTGGCACAAGATTCAATAGGCCAAACATGCTTGCCAGTCATGGGTATTGCTCTTTGACAGGTAAACTGCTTCAATTTCTTTTTAACTTTATTTAATTTTTCATCCATCACACTGTTGTGATGATTAGAAACACTATGGGCATGAGTTAGTGATCTCAGGCTACTTGAAGTAGCAGAATGGCACTGTGATGCCACAATGTTTGAATCTTTTCTTTCTGCTACTCCAGACAGATCAGATGTCTTACAGCCATCTTCAATTGCAAGTAATTTAGTACTCTTCTTTCTCCTATTCTTTCTACTCTTTTGTGCTTCACAAGTATTGCTTTCTGTACATAGATGAGATGCACAATCACACAAATTTGACAGATCTGTTTCTTTATTATTTAGTCCTAAGGTTGCAGAGGAGTCTGAAGAGGCAACTGCTGCTTCTGCTGGTAACTCATGCTTACTGTATTCATTAGTAACATTTGGGAAAACAGTCTGCACGGCTGACATCTCCGTGATTTTCATCTTTCTTCTACTTTTTCTAACAGTATTACATTTTTTTTCACTTGAGAACTTACTGTTTCTACTCCGGTTGCACAAAAAATGCCCTTTATGCTGAGCTTTTACTTCTTTATTAAACGCTAAACTATCTTTTATGAGTGATCCCTCATCTTGCATTCTATTAGTGCTGCAATTTATATCACTCCGTTCTATAGTATCGCCAGGACTAATGGAATTCCTCTCATCCTGGGCTTTATGGAAGAATCCACTTACACTAAAGGTGCTGGTAGCTCCATTCATCGAAGATTTTACCAATGTGTTGATGCAACTACAGGCCTCTAACCTTACAAATGGATTCTTCCTTGTTACATCAAGCAAGCTGTTACAGTTGTTTAGGCTGTTTCTACTATTCTCTGTATCATCATGTTCTGCATTTATCACTTTTTCAGCTGCAGTTAAGCTAAGATTCTGCAAACACTTGATAGAATCAGTTCTGGGTTTCCTTTTTTTAAGCTGCACACCAGACTTTTTAGTTTCAGAATGACACAGAAAAATCTTGCTTTGTGTCTCACTTAACGCATCAACTGCAGGAGATTCCAAGAAGTGAGATTCCTTTTCGCAGGGATTTTCTGATCTCATTAGATTTGCCTTACACTTCTTCATTGCTTGTATACCTGAATTCTGTTTATTTTTTTTCTGTTTTTTCTTTGCTGCTCAGAAACAAAGCAATCTCATTAAAGAGCACACTACAGGAAAATAACAACAACCCTATTGCAGAATTTTACAAAAAGAACAAAGAACAGTCAAGGTTAGTAAAGAGCATAACACTACATCAGGTAAAAACATTTCAGTTGCATTTCACCATTTTTTTTTCTTTAAGTAAGCACTGTTAGCAGCCTTAAGAGTATCAAATTATGTTGTCTTCAGAAAATGTACAGATAAACAACAGAACCTGAAGATGTTGAAAGGTCAGTGGAAGCTGTATATTTAAAATGGGTGGAAACCAATTACAGCAAGTCTGCCAAGAAAATGCTGATGGCATTTGCACAATCAGTCTTACAAATCTTTTGTTTACACAATACATTCTCTGTAATAGGAAAGCTTATAAACATAATAATATGGCCATTTATTTCAGATATATAGTCCAATTAAATGCCTAACACTGTCACAGATCCAAGAAAATTCCAGGACTTGCAATTCTGTAAAATACTTTTTACTTCAGAGCAAATACAGATTCTGTAAACTCCACATGCAAAAATACGGAGAATTAACTTGAGAACATACTGGTAAAATTTTGTTAAGATCTCAATTTTCAAAGTAAAACAATTTTAATATCTCATTTTTTTCAGGATATGGTATCTAGATTAAATATTTATTAATAACCTACAGCAAATGTTTGTCATTTGAATATATTCATTTTTAAAACAGAAATAATGTCTTACAGATAACTGTCCTGAAAAAAGGAGATTTTTTAAAGCCCTATTCCAGAACTGTTCACCTGATATAATTCTCTTAAAATTCTCGCAAAATAAAATCTAAAACTCTTAGTCAGGGCCTGCTGCTTCTGATACCCCTTACTTTCCCCATTCACCCCTAGGTAACATAGTTTACTCTCTTCTGGGCTAAATGACCTCTTTTCTACTTCAAAAAAGCTTCTCCCTTCCTAAAGTCCCCATCTCAAGAAGTGTAGAGATAAGAGCTAAGTGACTGGCCACATGTTAACAGGCTCTTTGAGACAGGATACACACCACTCTTTCCTGTCTGCATGACTTTGTCCTTCAAAGTCATTTCCAATGCAGAAGTAAAATTATTTCCTGTTTTAAGTTTCTAATGAGGTCTTACTGCAGCACCAGTCCCTTGTCCTGAAAGCCCAAATTTTAGACCTGTAATTCTACAATGGGGGACAAATGCTTACCACTTTCTTGCACGCTATCTGCTCCTTTCTGAAGATCTGAGCTCAGTTGATGTTCTACGACGCAACACTTGCGCTGCTCTCCTCCAATTGCTGATTGTTCTTGGCCACTTAAGCCCTGCACACATAGTAATGGCAATGAGTCTTCCTCTGTCAGACCTGCAGAGTTTTCCTTGGACTCCACACGCTGTGTATACAGCTCTAGCAGGGCAGATTTTGGTCCCTGTAGTTCTGATTTCACCAAAGACTGCCTGCCTTTCTTTGTCAAGTATCTCTTTCCTCCCTTCTTTGGCTTTTTCAGCCCTTCTAAGGAACACCCATCCGTACTCTCTGGGTTACTCACCACTTCCCGAGGTTTTGGTTCAGACAAGAAAGACTCCTCAGTCCCCAAACTCTTAAGATCTGGGATTTGCAGATTCAGTATCATTAAGGAGGCAGTGCCTTTCATTTCAGTACTACACACACCCTTTCTAGGCTGCAGCACCTCAGGTTCTGACAAACAGGAAACAACACTATGCCCCTCTGTCCTCTCAAGATCCTCCTCCAAGGCTGGGATTTGCAATTTCAATTCCATATAGGAATGCTTGCGTTTTTTTCCCGAAGGTCTTTTATTGTCCTGGAAACCAGAGAGGTTTGGTCTTTCTGGGCTGCCAGTCTTTCCAGACAAGGTATTCTGCAAGTCAGTTCCTAAGCAAAATGACTGCTGACCTTGTCCTGTCTCTTTGCCTACAGTCTTTTCCAAACATGCTCCTGCTACTATGGCTGCTTGCCCACCTTCACACACAGCACTGTCTGATACCTGCAGAGCAGAACCATTCTTCCTTTTAAAAGACACCCTGCTCTGTATCCCCTTGTTTTTCTTACCACCTGGCCTCTGCCTACTCTTGGCTTGCTCTTTCTGCACAGACACAAGAAAAGAAAGCTGCTCAGAGGAACCTCCAGAGTGTGCAGCAGGTTGGGAACGTGAAGGTGAGGGCTGCTCAGGTTCCCTCTCTGATGCCAGCTGAGGACTCAGCTCGACCGCCACCTGCTTCCCTAGCTCACACCCCACCTCTGCACTCCGGAGAGCAAGCAGTGTCTCAGCCCCGACCACCTTCCCAGATCTTAACTGCGGCATTGTGGGGGACACCACCAAGCCCTGCAAACCCCACACGCCCGCACACCTCTACCAGCACGCTGCCTAGCCTGGGCCCTGAGAAGCGCAGGCCCGAGCAGGAAGGGAGCACAACCTTCTCCTGCCGCAGCAGAGCCTGGCCCGAGAGAAGCACAACCTGCGAGCCCACAGCCACTTCCCACCCCACGCCTCCCTACTGCCTCACAGACAGATACCACCACCGACTCTGCCGCCTCCCACCCCCCTCCCCGCACTGCGGGTCCCTCGCCACTTCTCAGTTCACTGCTCCGTCTCTCAAGGCCCAGCGCCTCCCGCCAGCGACGAGCAGCTCACGAAGAAGGGCTGCCTCCCTCCGCGCCGCGTCATGGCGGCCCGGGCGGCGTGAGGGACGCTCCGCCGCGCCCCTGCGAGGCCCTGCGCCGTAGGAGTGTGGAAAGGCGGCAGCGGCGCTTCGCCGGGCGGGGGCTGATGTGCCGAGGTTTTATTGTGGAATTACCGAAGCCTCTGAAACACCAGGTGGCTGAAAACGCCAAAGTCGGCCAGACCTGAGTGGAAAAAAACAGATATCCCAACTCTCTTTAATCGAGGGGGATGTACTTGGTTGTATACTGGTAGTTTACATAGGCTCTGTATTTCAAATGAGGCGTTTTGGGACAAAGTAGATGAAATAGTCAGACTGTATAGGCAGAAAACAGACAAAATTGACTTTTAGGCTTCAACTGTAGTAGTAGCTCCAACACAAATTGATGCCACTAAAGTTTCAGAATCATTTACTGTGTGAGAACCTGAACACATGGAAATTATATTACAAAATGCTGTTGAAGATGGAGTCTCTGTGGTGAACACCAGGAAAATCATAAATGCCAAAATTTAGGAAGGTATCATTTTAAAACCAACAATGGGATCAGCATAAAGGCAGATAGATGCTCATAAATGGCATCCGAGGAAGCAGTCTGTTTCTGCCTGGGGATCAGCCCCAGGATCTGCGCACAGAGAAGAGTCACAGAATTATAGGGGTTGGAAAAGACCTCTGGAGATCATCCAGTCCAACCCCAGGAATTTTGTTGTCTCTCCCCTTTCTGGAAGTGTGGTGCTGTGATATGGAAGTACTTGAAGAGTACGGGTGTCCTTGGAGTCCAAACCAACTAGCATTGGCCTGCAGTACAACTGTGGTTAAATCACCCTGTATTTCCATCTGCAGATAGGGATAATATAGCACTATCCAAATAAAGACAGGAACAGTGTCTGGTGGGAAAACTGCTCCAGAAGTGAGGAAATGAAGTTCCATGTAAATATGAAGAAGAACTTTACTGTGAGCGCTGAAACAGGCTGCCCAGAGAGATTGTGGAGTTTCTTTCTCTGGAGATATTCAAAGACCCACCTGGACATTTTCCTGTGCAATCTACTGTGTAGGGATTTTGCTTCAGCAGGGGTTTGGACCAGATGATTTGCAGAGGTCTCTTCCAACAATTTTGCAATTCTGTGAAATAAAAGACAGGCTTGAAATCTTTCTCCTTATAACATTATGTTGCATGTGCATGGTGAAGTACAAAAAAGTTAGTGAGTGACACACTGAAACTTACCAAAGCAGAAAATACAGGATTTTTAGCCTTTTTTTTTTTTTCTTCAGCTTGGTGCTGTGCTTCAGATCTTAGCGACAGTAAAGTCACCAAGTAAAGTAAAGTAAAAGCTAACTACGCAACACCTACCATCTTCAGCATGTTGCAGGATGCCTGTTAGATAAAACATTCATCACTGGCAAAATTCAACCTTTTCGAGCTCCAATATGTGTTATATACTTTAATTTTAGTAGCAATACAACAAAATGAGCCAAAAAGCAGTATTAGAGGGAATCTGGAAAAACTGCATTTGAATTAGCTTACTGCTTTCTAGTATCATTTTCAAGATTGAGTATCCAGTCAATTATTTACAATAATAAGAACTTTAGTCAGACCAAATTTTTATGAAATGGATAAAAACGTACTTGAAATGAATACTAAAGACATTCTTCATGAAAGCCCTTCGAAAAAAAAAAGGACTAGAGCCTCAGAAAGGACATTCTGAAGCAGCTGTGGATTATGTTAAAAAACAGATTGCATTCAGTTAAAAATATTCTAAGGAGGGGTAGTATAAACATTATCCTTCAGAGTGGATCAAGGTAACTGTCTTTTAAAAATGCCTAAAATAAGAGACAGAGATTTAATACAAAGTCATATTATTAAAAATAAACAAAACCAATGGTGTGAAACATTTATTGAAACTGTAGATAAATAAAGTGTAAATTACTGAAAAATTAAACAAACAGCTTAAGGGGGGGGAAATGTGTTATTTCCATATTCGAACATTTGAATTAGTAATGCAACAGTAGATGTTTAAACTTATATTCTGAAATTCTGTCTTATTTGGAAATAAAGATAAATGCTTGCTTCTCCTACGTTTTGTAAGCGGTATGCCTCGTTACCATATCTAAGCTTTAAAGCTAATTCAGCTTTTGCTATCTGTTTCTGTGCTTCACTGGTTTCTTGTTCATCCTAGACACTTAAACAGTCACAAATACTGGGTACTGTGCGTATGAAAATAAATAGGGAAGAAATATATATTTTTTCAGAATATCTGATATACTCGGAGGTGACTGTCAGTTTCCAAGAGCGAGAAAGGAATTTATGTGACTCAATTTATGTCAAGTCGATGAAATTACTCATTTTTTCTTTTCTCAGAGAATCACAGAATGGCTTGGGTTGGAAGGGACCTTAAAGATCATTGAGCTCCAACTCTCTGCCATGACCAGGTTGCCAACCCCTAAATCAGGCTGCCCAGGGCCCCATCCACCTGGCCTGAAATGCCTCCAGGGATGGGACAAGAGAAGCAACTGTTTGTTCTTAGCCTCCCAGACAACATCATTTACATTACCAGTGTGGAGAAGATGTGGCTGCAGATCTAACACTGGTATATTTGACCAGCTTTCCCTGAGTTTTTGAAGGGCTGATATTTAGAAACACATAAATCACAGCTACATAGGTAAATCCCACACAAATTTTACTGGGCTGTATTTTAGACATTGCTGGTACACTCACCTAGCAACAGGAATTAAGTCTTCTTTAAGGAACTGGAAACATCTTAAAAATGAATTGTCTTTTCTCTCTTTGGTGAGGCAATGTGAAAAACATCACACTGGACTGCTTCCTTTTGCACTGCTTACATCTTCATGTTTGGCTGAGGGATAGATTGGTTAACTCCAGGAAACCTCAGCATGAAGTTTTTGGCTGTGCTGTAATAATTGAGACTGAGATGTGAAGAAAATGCATAGTCTGTTACATTCCCAAAGTATGCCAAATTAACCCCGTAAGTAATACAACTAAAACCAAGTAGGGGAGAGTTTTAGTCCAGGGTGTCTAAGAAAGTATCCTTCTACAACCCCAAGGATTATTCTTTTGCAGTTCTTACGTATTGGTTTTCCAAAGTTAGCACCCAAAGATATTAAATACAAATTTGATTTAAGTAACTTCTTTCCTCCCTGCCTTCCATTCAAATATGTGGGCATTTTGGAAAAAGGTTTATTGCTTGCCAGTTGAATTAAGGTGTTTCCATACATATTTGTGATATGTTTAGATCTCTCTAAAACTGTCTTTGACTCATACTAAAGGATGTTTGTCTGTTTGTCTGCACTATCACCTTGAACACTGATAGACAGGAGTCACATTTGGATACCAATGAATACACTTGGAAACCAGAGCTCACTGCTGACATTGTTAGAAATAAATATAGTAATAGCACAGCTATTAATTGATGTACAGCCACTATGGTGTTGAAAGCAGAGGTACCTCAGTGGAGATATGTAATCTGCTTTGCAAAGTAATTACACTGTGTGACATATGAGGGTAGACTATGAGAATGCAGTGAGTGGCTGGTATTTCAACCATTATTTTGGTTGCTGTTTTTTATTATAAGACCATACAGAGTAGATTAAAGTAACTGCATTTTCCACTAGTTTAAAATGAGACATTGGAGGAGAAAGGACAGCTGGTGTATTTCATAATGGACCATCTGGCTTTTTTTGGTAAATCCTCTGATTCCTAATTTATTATAGAATTACAGCATGAAAATCAAAGTTATTGATTGCGTGGAATCAATGTTTCCCTCTGGCACATTTTGCACTGCTTCAGTTTTTGGCTAAGGATGGTCTTAGAAGGAATAAGGACCTCTCACACTGAGCTTTTGCAGAGCGTGAAAGTCATCTGTGCCATTTGCCTTTAATATATACATGTTTGTAATCATGCTGCTTGACCAGCTATCTTCATGATAATTTCTGATCTGAACACTGTAGAAAGTGGCACTAATCAGTTTTAAGTCTCCATGAGGGAATTGCTGCTTTAGGTTAAAATTCATTAAATTCATTGTATTCATTTCCCTTTTTTTTAAAAAAAAAAAAATAAAAAAAAAAATAAAAATACAACCTCTCCTGGTTGGAGTTTAAGAAATAAACTAATTAGCTGGAATTTGAAATTCAGAAAATACAGATTCAGTAGAGAAGTTAACCAATCAAGCAGGAGAATACAAATTAACTCTCAAATTATGTTAAAATTATCTAAATAAAATATACCTTTGCTTTAACTATATGGTACATAGCCACATACCTACCACTGAATCTGTCTTCAGAATCAGCTTCTTTTAGAGGCTGCATGAAAAAGATGTTGAACGTAAGAGGAAGGCATCTGCAGTCTAGCAAGTACATGACACCTCCATCTCACTGCCAAAAAGGACTTGGAAATATGATTTCTGAATGAAAAAAATGTTTAAAAAAGAGGAAAAGAAATTTAAATTTGGTGGATCAGAGCTAGAAAAGCCATGGAGGTAGAAACAGTAGCGGTAGAATAAGCGGAGCGTAATAAATAGTGAATAACCTGGGAAAAGCAAATTGCTTCAGAAAATCACCCTTAACAAGAAAGAGTGATGCGATGAAGACAGAACGTGGTGAGAACTTATTTGTGGTTCAGATTGACTGAAGAAAACGTGCAGGAGCATCTTCAGCAGTACTCTTAGGAAAAAAAGCTACAAGAGACTTGAACTTTGGGTGCTGACACTGATCAGTGGCAAACCAGAATCCAAATCCAAATCCTAATTAATCTGGCTGCTGGACACTGAACTAACCTCACTGACTGGCTCCTAGCTTCAGTTTTTTATACTGTGGCCATCCATAAAGACCTTACATTGAAGTCTATTTAATAACATTGAGGTGGCTGACACATAAAACGTGAAGCTTTACAGGCGGAATATCTTTCTGTATCTTTATTTTCCCTTGGACGCTTCATCCATAATCATCAGATCACTCCACATCCATCAATGTATTCTACAATTTTATTGCTTTTAGACCTGTAGAGTGTATTTGCTGTTACTGTATGTTTTCAGAACTTCAATGGGACTTTTTCTGAGGTGCAGGTCTAAGAAATGATTGCTGCTCACGTTTTTCTCTTTGGAGACAGTATTACTCTCTAACAATGCAAAAACCTTCTGCAGTTGATGAGAAATAATTTTTTCAGTCATGCTGACTGAAATGAGCAACTGACTGATTATAAAGCTTCCTCCAACAAAAGCAGCATACAACTGTTTTAATGCGCTGGTTTCACCACTAAACCTTACCCACTGGCACAACCAGGGTAAACTATGGAAAGAGATTCTCTTTCAGAAGTTCTTTCAAAAGCTTTGTATTAGAAATAAGGCTGACAGTAAGTGATTATTACACATTAACAGGAGTGTCACTGCTCAGTAGACAAGTCAGAACAGTAGGATAGTTAATTTTCTTCTTGTCTGCAGTACTGGTGTTGCACTTGGTATATGTGTGCCCATTTATTTCAGTCACTCCTTTCTGGCTGCTGAGTAGGTACTGAACATTGGGCCATTTCATCTAGATTTGACTGTGGTGGGATGGAGACCACAGAAATATTACATTTCTGCATATTTCATGAAGACAGACATCCGTGTACATGAGAAATGGTCCATGGAGGAAAAAAGCTACTAGGCTTAGCCTTTAGTAAGTATCAGTGTCCACAGAAAGAGATGTCAGGTTCCAGATCTTGTGCTACTGCTGACAGAGCAGTGGGTTATAAGCTCTTCAGTAGGGCTACAGACAGGACTTGCTATCAGGGGATATCTAGCTTATGAGAAGATGCATGTGAGCAGAGAGCTTTCATAGGAATTACACTTGCTAACTGGGGCCTCCAATACAAGAAAGACAGGGAGCTGTTGGAGATAGTCCAGAGGAAGGCCACAAAGATGACTGGGGGCTGGAGCACCTCCCCCACAAAGACAGGCTGAGGGAGCTGGGCTTGCTCAGCCTGAAGAAGAGAGGTGTGCAGGGTGACCTAATTGCAGCCTTCCAGTACCTAAAGGGAGCCTACAAACAAGAGGGGAGTCCACTCTTTACAAGGGTAGGACAAGGGGAAATG